AGATGTCCCCCTGGAGTTCCATCATATCCGAGTACTTCCGACACTCGGCTCCTAGGATTGACCAACTGCATACGATTATCTGACCCATCATCGCTCTCGAGATTCCTCTTGAGCATGTCCTCTTCTAATACCTAGGAGTCTTACTGACTCCAGTACGCCTTCAAAGTCTGTGAAGATGGTGCTACTTCTTGCCAAGAAGGACGGCGATTCGCTTTCTTCCATTCTCGAAGCTTCCGATGTTCTGGGTCCTTTTCTTGCTCCTGCTTGATTGCTGCAGGTAACCAATCTTCATTGACAATGGTAGTTCTGCAGAGGGCTGCTTCCTTATTCTCCAAACGACTACAATGTGAGCACTCAGGTGGACATGGCCTTCTGGACAATAGATCTGCATTCTTATGGCTCTTCGCCACCCGGTAAACTGGCCTTTTTGGATCAGCCCGCTCTAGTTTTCCTGCAGCTGCTCGAACTGGTTTCTTCTCCTCATCCAAGAGGCCCTTGATGACGTTCATATAGTCTTCAGTTATATCTTGCCTGGGATTGTCTGCTATGTTCTTGCTGTCATCGACGGCTTGGAATTTTGTTGCTTCTCGTGTAGCTTCTACTGCGGCCTCGATCTCTAGCGCAGCTGCCAGAGTCTTTAGGTCGAGTCAACCGAACCGCTTTCCGCATTTCAATATCTCGCAATCCATCCAGGAACATTTGGACAGCGAGGCAGTCTATCAGATACTCAGGAGCTGATGGGTAGGCACACCGAACCAACCGAGCTACTTTCATTTCAAATTCCTGTAGGCTCTCATTGTCTCCCTGTCGACGGTTCTTCATTTGTGATCGAAACACTTGCTGTAGATGTTTTTGACCATATCGCATGTTGGGGCATTCGATGAGATAATCGTAGTTATCGGATTTATCCTCCGGAATGGCTTGCAAGATGTTTAGTGCATCACTTCGTAGAGCTACTGTAAGAGCTACCACTTTGTCTTTTGTTGTCCATCCATTGGCTCTGGAAGCTGCTTCGAATTGCTTCAGGTAGTTTGGCCACGATGTTTTTCCATCAAATGTAGGCGGCTTCACTCGATTGGTGGTAACCACTGCATCCGGCCCTATTGTGGTTTCCATCACGAGTCGTTGACCATTTTCTGACTCTTCCATCGCAGCTCTCCTGTGAGATTGAAACTTCAGTTCATCTATTTCGAGCTGCAGTACTTTCTTCAGATCTTCTATCTGAGTCGCGACTTGAGCTGTTATCTGAGCCAATACCTCTTGCCGTTGAGCTGAGATCTGAAAGGCTATCTGATCCTGCTGAGCTATCTGCTCCGAGATTCCAGCCAACATCGATTCCGCTGAAGCTGGTTCCTCGAAGTTGAACGTCTCTGGATCTTGACTTTCGCTCACCATATACTGATAATAATAATAATAATTTAATCACCGCAAAAAATATTAACAATCATATAATCAATACATATTATTAGATTTTTGATGAAATATTCAAATGTTCATTTCACCATAAATGTGAAACAGTTTATGTATCAGATATACAATGATAATTCCATAATACATAAAAAAACAAGATTTACAGGTAGAATAAATTCAGAAAACAACTAAAGGTTAGACCTTGAAAGTTGAGTTACTGTATTTAGCTCCGATTCTATGTAGTTGAATGTATATAACATAACATATGGTAACATGACTATAATAATACTAACAATAAAATATGACAATTATATGACAAGAGTACAAAAAATACAAAATGTGGAATAACATTTGTGAAAAAAAAAATTTAATAAGTATTTAATATATTCATAGGAAGATACTTTATTAGATCTGGTAGGTATTATTTACATCTACAAATTAATGTATTTAAGTTCTTGTGAACGTTTTCATCCAAATTCTGATTTTTTTTTTGAATATTGTTTTCGAATATATGTCTTTGATTTCAGTTGGTATCAAATTATAAAGTTTTGGACCAAGATATATGAAGGATTTTTGTAACAAATTTTTCTTAGCCTTGGGAACTCTATTTGACTTTATTCTATATCTGGTATTGTATTCATGGGCTATAGGAATAATATTATTGCTGTGTTTATGTTGGCGCACAATGATTTCTAGAAAAAACAGCTGTCTTGTGTCCATCAGATCAGTTTCCAAGTACAGTTTATTAGAAGGATAGGTGTAATCTTTTTTATACATTACTTTAATTATGTATTTTTGTAAGACTTCTAGTGGTTTGATATAGATATTTGATGCACCTCCCCAAGCAACAATTCCGTATTTGAGATGGCTCTCCACCAATGCGAAATATAATGTGTGCATTTGACTTGTAGTAAGGATGCTAGATAAATATTTGAACTTTGATAATGTACATCTGAGTTTTTTCATCACGTTGTCGATGTGGATATTCCATTTCAGATTACAATCTATGAAGATTCCCAAATATTTAATCGATTTTTCAGATTTTATGTGAATGATGGTGTTACTTTTGTTTACAGAAAGGGTATCATAATCGGGTAAGCCATTTGAATATGATGCGAACGGAATGAATTTAGTTTTTCCAATATTTATTGTGAGTAGTCGATTATCAAACCATTTTGCTATGTTTTCGAAATCTCTCTCGGCTACAGTTTTCAAATCACTCCAATTTTTTTCGTGATACAAGATAGCTGTATCATCAGCAAAACTCACGATGTCCCCCACTGTTTGAATTCTGAATAAGTCATTCAAATATATATTAAAGAGAAGTGGCCCAAGAACTGTACCCTGGGGCACACCGTATTTTACATTTTTTGCTTCACTTAGTTTTTTGGCAATTCTTACGTGTTGATTCCTATTACATAGATAGCTTTCCATTAAATTATATGCATTTCCTCTGAAGCCGATACTCTCCAATACTTTCATTAGCTGAGAATGACTGACCGTATCGAAAGCCTTCGCGAGGTCAACAAAAATACAAAGCACTGCATCTTTTTCGTCCAAAAAATTATTTACGTTGGATATTAAGTAATTGATTGCATCTTGTGTCGATTTTTTTTCTCGGAATCCATATTGTTTATTCGAAAGGATATTATATTTATCTAAATAAATAGTAATTCGCTTTTTTATTATCATTTCGAATAATTTTGATATGGTCGAAATCAGAGAGATTGGTCTGTAATTTGAGACATCGTTTTTGCTACCCGACTTAAACAGTGGCTTCACCATAGCTGTTTTGAGAATTGAGGGGAATGTACCTGAGTTTAAACACCAATTTATAAGGTATACCAAAGGTTTCACTGAAGAATTTGATAACAGCTTTACTGTTTCAGAAGTGATTTCATCAATGCCCGGAGATTTTTTGTTTTTGAGGAGGGATATTGTATCCGCTAGTTCATTTTCATCTGTTTCGAATAAAAATATGGAATTTATCTGGTTTTCTCCCGGCATATCGTTAAATCCGTCATGTTTAGTTATTTTTTCTGCTAATTTACTTCCGACTTCTGAAAAATAGCCATTGAATTCTCTAGTTATTTGAAATTCATCTGTTATGACTGTACCATCTTGAATTTTAATTTTTTTTATTTCCATATTTTTTGTTTTATTACCACATATTTCGTTAACACATTTCCATAAATTCAAAGGGTCATTTTGATTTCTGGTGATCTTGTTTTGATAATAAGAAAATTTCGTGTGTTTTATCAGGTCATTGAGTTTATTTCTGTATATTTTGTAATTATTTTTATTTTGTTCACTTGGGAATCTTCTCATTGTACGAAATAGTTCATCTTTTCTTTCTATCGATTTTACTAAGCCACTTGATATCCATTCTTTTTTCTTTTTGTATTGTTTTGATATTTTCACTTTATTTGTACATTCCTCAACATATGATTTTATTTTTTCAACGAAGAGCTTAGTCGCATTGTCGATATCTTCACATTCATAAATATCGTGCCACTGTTCTTTTTCTAAGTTCATAATTAGTTTCTTCTTGTCTAAGAAATATTTAACATAATGATTGTCTTCGGCGGTTTTTTTTTCAGGGAAAATTACATTTCCTATTATAGAAAAATGATCTGTAATATTTGATTCAAGTATTATGGCTCGGATGTCATATTTGTTATCGGAAGTTTTTATGAACAGGTGGTCTATACATGACTTAGTATCACTTTGTATTCGTGTAAATTCATTTATTCCTGATATATAGTTGTATTCACTCAAGATGTTCAAATAATTATGAATCTGATCACTCTGACTCAGTATGTCGATGTTTATGTCGCCTAAAAACATTTTGATATCTATGTTCCTAGGGCAGTTTGCGAAATATTCGTTTAAATTCATATTGAAGTTATCAATATCACTCGATGGAGATCTATATAATGCTGTGATGAATACAGTTGTCTGGCCAATTCTGGCTCTGATTTCGATAGCTCTTATGTCACCAATATCTATTATTTTCGAGTCAACTGATAGTTTTTCATTTATAAATACAATTACACCATCATTTTTATTCAAATTTCCATGATTATATATAGTGATATATCCAGCTATATTGAAAGTGGAGATATCATCAATTTGAAATGTCTCAGATAATACAATAAAATCAAATTTCCAGCTTATTTCACTAAGCAAAATTTTGAGTTCATCCACATTTTTTTTAGCACTTCTTATGTTCATATGGAATACTTTGATACTTTCAAATTCATGTATATTCGGAACAATAGTACTCAGTTCCTTGTGATCATGAATAACTGAGGTGTTGTACGAATCGATTTCAAAATCTCTGATATATCTATCCATATTTTCGATTTATTTTTATTTAGTCATACAATTCCAGAATGACTCGAATAACAATGTATGAGTATGAGTATGCAGAATTTTCAGATGGAAGTGAGTATTCATACAATAAATTCAAATATATGGAGGAAAAATCTGTTCAAAATATCATTAAAAATAAAAATACAATAGAAAAACAATACATAAAGTTTGAGATATTGGCACCACTATGAAAACACCTTCCGATCCAACACCTATTATTTGCTAGATTGCCTTGTGAACCTCTTAGGCGGAATTTCGTCGAAATATTGTTGTCTCTTCGTGGTTTGTGCTGCAGTTGATGATTGACTGGAAGCTGGAGTTTGCTGGGTATTGAAATGTCTATTTGGTTTCGATGTAGATGTATTCTTGTTTCCAGTTGATGTTGGTGTTAATTCTTCTGCTGTGTATGTAACGCCATTCACAATTAGTTTATTGTTTTTTATTTTAGCATCAGCATTTTTCAGTTTAGCTTCCCTCAGATGTGGATATAAGATTTTTCGGGCTTCGTAATCTTCTTTGATGTAATCTCTGGATACTGATATTCCACTCCCTTTCAAGATAGAGTTTTTTTCGAAAATCGCACCAATTAATTTATAATGAAGACATTCCACGACTATTGGTCTTGGTTTTGCTTGGTCACCAGTAATTTTTCCGATCCTGTACCAGTCTCTAAAATCGTGAAATCTACATTCAACCCCACACCTATCGTTTATGATTTTGATGAAATTCTGAATATCTTCCAGGTCATTTGCTTCCTCTTTCACTCCGTACACAATCAGATTATATTTTTTCTGCTTCCTTTCATTTATAAGAATTCTTTCATTTAGTAAACTTACATTTTCTTTCAATTCTGCATTTTCCCTCTTCAGTTCTTCTATTTCCTTATTATTTTCATTTTTTATATTCAGTATCTCGTTTTTTGAGACGATACTGAAGGGTAGCCTAGATCCCTGTTGTGTCGAGATCTCTCTCCTCCAACTCGCGTTTCAAGTCCACCACTTTCAACTCGTGTAGTTTCTCCATTGTAACGGTCTGTTCACTTCACACTGGAATATTCCACACCTCTGACACCAATTGCTACGTTATTCGGGTGCCGAAGCGAACACGACACTATTTATTGGCGGACTGATTTATTTGAACTAGAGAAACACTAATTCATATCGAACTTAAACTACTATTTATGTAAGACGGTTCATATCACGCGGTATATATCTGCCTCTCTGACACTCGCTGCTTAACTGACGGCAGTTGTTCGGCCGTTATATATGAGATTCCTTGGAAGGCTTTGGTTAGAGAACGTTCTTGAATGATCTTCCGTCTCCTACTTTTTTTTTCTAGAAGCTTCTTAGAACAGAACCCCTCTCTCTAATTGTTCCATCGATTGTTTTCAGAACATTCCAGAATCTTCTGTCACGTTATTCGTCACTGCGGCATATATTGAGTGTTCGAAAATATGCTGGTGTATGTAGAAATCATTGGGAGGTTGGAGAACAATATGGGATGCGTGTTACAGGATGATCGTTGTACTCCTGTCTTACTGATGATGTTTCTAGAGCCCTTCTAAGGGAAATATCATTACAATATGAAAAATGTTCTACTGGATTCTACTGCATTTCTCGTAGAACCCCAAGACGAGTGTAAGCGCTCGTCTGAAAAAGAATTGAAATACATTGTGATACCATGACCAAATATTGTAAACGAATAGAACTCCTGCATAAGAGGAATTGATCTAATTGACAGAATGATAAGTCACCATCGCATTAGTATTGCAAGAACAAAGAACATACCGTCAAATCTATTTTCCACGTGATTGACTTGGGAGTGGCTCACTCGTTGACTCTATACAGAGGTGATCGGAATCAATCAGCAGAAATTTTGAGATTTTTAGATTCCAACATTTCTAACGCCAATTCTTCATTCGATATAATACTTAATATGCTGATGACAAAAGGTTATTCTTGATGGTAACCAGAAGCAATATTTCCCTGTCTGTTCAGAGAACTCCTACGTCTTCTACAAAACAGAAGATTATACATCTTTCAAGTGTGACCACTGATCTCAAAAATGAAGTTAGATGTAACAATCAGGTTTCAAACTGAAAAGAAAACTGTTGCGACAAATATAACACATTTTTGTGTCTAACGGGCAATAATAATTGCTTTAGAAGTTTGAATTTACGTAATTAATAGTAGTGATATCATCCTGATGTCCAATTCATAATTTTTTTGTACTTTTGAGTCAATAAAAATTCAAAAAAAAATCTGCGACGTTTTTATACCAAGAACCAACAAGCTTTCTAATATCGACTCCGTATTACTTCAAATTCAGTCTCGGGACTCAGAAGGATATATCCTGTGAGGTCAGATCTATTAGTTTGATGGAGTTAGAAGAAATAAAGCAGATACTTAGTATATTATTTATTTATTTATTCATTTATTGAAATCATATAGGATAACAACAGGCATAACCCAAAGTGTTATCCACGGATACAATAGAGCGTACAGAAGTGTAACTTATATATATATATATATATGTATTACATTTTTAGCTTAAACTAATACTAATCTATGAAATATTTTAATGATGTCAACTGTAAAGTTCAGTATTTTTCTTTTATCTTAGATTTGAATACATGTAATGTATGATTGAATAAATCAATATCATCGAACTTATCGTTGTAAAGTGTTACCATTCTATGTAGGGGAGAGTTTTTTCCTAAGTTTGTTTTACAGAGCTTTTCAGAGAAGAGACGGTAATTTCTCAAAGAACGAGAAGGAACATTGAGAGGTATATTTGACAAAATTTCAGGGGCATCGACCAAGTCATTCACAATTTTAAATAAAAATATTATGTCGGATTGCTCTCGACGAGCCTCTAGTGTGGGCATACGAAATTTGTTTCTTAGGAAGGCTGTACCCGTTGTTATATTGTATTCCCCACTAATTCTGTATTCGAGATATCTTAAGAATTTATTTTGTATGATCTCCAATCTAGTTTTGTATATAGAGTATTGAGGATGCCAGATGATATTTGCAAAATTTAGTTTACTATGAACAAAGGAGTAGAATAAGGTTTTCATGGCATGAATGGATGTGAAGTTTTTACAATGTCTAAGAATAAATCCTAATGTTCTGTTACATTTAGATACAACGTAGTCAATATGCGTTGAGAACGAGAGTTTTTTGTCCAGTACAACACCTAGGTCTTTTATTTCGTTAACCTCTTTAAGGGCACTATTACCAAAGTGGTAATCGTATGAAAATATCTTGTGGTTTCGAGTGAATGTGATGAAGCAGCATTTATCTAAGTTCAAATGGAGTTTATTAATTTGACAGAAGTCAAAAAATCTGTTCAAATCATTTTGGATAAGGGAACAATCAGTTATACTATTTACTTGAGAGAATATTTTGAGATCGTCCGCATATAGTATGTAATTACAGAATTGAAAGCAAGACTTAATGTCGTTTAAATATATAATAAAAAGAAGAGGTCCTAAATGTGAGCCCTGGGGTACTCCCGATGTTACAATGTATGGGGCCGATTGATGTCCATTAACTGTAACGATTTGTGTCCTATTATAGATGTATGAGGCGAACCAGCGAAGCAGGTCCCCGTGCACACCGACTTCAGTTAATTTGGATATCAAAATATTGTGGTTTATTTTGTCGAATGCTTTACTGAAATCGGTGTACACGGAGTCCACTTGAGTCTGGCAGTCCATTGCGTTCGTCAAATATTCTGTATATATTACTAAATTTGTCTCTAGGGATCTCTTTGGAAAGAATCCATGCTGTTCCTCAATAATATATCCTTTTATGGAAGTCATAAGTGAATCATGAACTATAAGTTCATGAACCTTACTCAGAATGTTCAACTTGCAGATCGGACGGTAGTTAGCAACGTTGTTTCTATTACCATTTTTAAAAATAGGTACTACATAAGCAGCTTTCCATCTCTCTGGGAACGTGCATTCCTCGAAAGATTTATTAATGATTATTGTTAACGGCACACAGATACTTGGTGCACATTTTTTTATGAAAAATGATGGTAATCCGTCTGGGCCGTTGCCTTTGTTTTCATCTAATGCTGAAAGAATGTTTTTGATTTGTTCTACGGACACTGTTATTTTACTTATCGAGCAGGTATTATTTATTGTGTGTGAGTACATTGTTTGTTCGTAAGGCTGAAAGACACTTTTGAAAAATTTTGAAAAGAGCTTGCAAACATCTGCTCCATCTGCTAATTCATCACCTAATTTCATATCATTAGGAATGTTATTATTTTGGTTAGTTTTGGAAACAAAGTACCAGAATTTTTTAGAATTATTCGGTATGTCGTTTTGTACGGAGTTCGCGAAGTTTTTGAAGTCATTTCGAATCATTTGCTTGGATCTATTCCGCAATTGACAGAAGAGTCGGTAATCAAACTGGGAACAAGACTTTTTATATTTTTTGTGAGCTTTAGATTTTTCGATAATAATTTTTATGGTGTTTTGGGTGAAATATACTGGAAACTGATTGAAAATTCTTTTTTTCGGCACGAAGATATCTATTATCTGATATATTTCTTTGTAAAAAACATCCAAACAATTATTCACGTCATCACAATTTCCAAGAATATCCACCCAATTAATATTTGAAATTTCCGTATTTATAGAATTATAGTCTCCTTTCCTGAAATTTTTAGTAAACTTGGAGTTCGACTGCAGAGTTTTTAGAATAGAAAAAGCGAGGCTAAATTCAATACTTCTGTGATGTAAATCCTCCTTCACTAGAGGCTCGCCGGGTTTGAGATTTCTTACAATAAGTTGGTTACATAGGACAAGATCGAGGATTTTGTCATTACTATTCTTCAGAGAGTTGAATTGTTTCAGTCCATAAAAATCAAGAATATCAATCAAATTAGTGAACTTTGTATCTACAAATGATGGAATCAGAATTGAACAATTTTGTTTGAAATTCCATGAAGTGTTCGACATATTGAAATCACCACAGATAAGGAGAGCATCATCTGATATTATGTTGAAAAGTCTGTGAAGATTATTAGTGAAGTATGCTAGTGCTTCATCATCTCCGGGGGGTAAGTAAACGCAGCATAGATGGATTTTACCTTTTTTCGGCGTATACAAAGTTAACCACAGATCCTCAGCATCGCTCTGCCATTCGGGACGTTCAACAACTTGTATTTCTCTTCGTGAGGCTATTAGAACTCCTCCACCATCACTCTTTGCGCTTTTTGTACTTTCGCGATCTCTTCGATACACTGAAAATTCATCACCGAAAAATAACTCACTATTCAGCACACCATTATTCAACCATGTCTCTGTTAAAAATATCACGTCGTGGTCACAATTATGGATATTTAGTTTGAATTCAGTAGTTTTAGAACGCAAGCCCCTTACGTTCTGAACAAAACATGTTAAATTCGCGAAAATGTCCTGATTGAGTATACGATGGGTGTTGATTTTTATGCTGTGATCAGGCGGATGTCAGGTCATCTTCATTCTCGATTCGTTTGACGTGAGAGCCCTCATCTTTGCGAATCAGAATATTGCCATTTTTCACCCATACGTATTTGAAATTTTTGGCTTTCGCAAAGTCTCTCGTTTTTTTGTAGAGCGTTTTGTTTTCCGGTGATAAGTGTTCGGAGATGTATAAGTCTTTGGAAACGCCTTCGATACTCAACAAACGATTTGGAGATGACATCTTCTTAATTTTTGTCGCAGCTAAGATATCGTCTTTCACTTTCCGGGAGATATATTTGATCACAATATTTTTCGGCCTATTGGGAGCGAAGGATTTCACTCTATGGGCCGAATCTATTAGATCTGGTGAAAATTGGACATTCAAGTTCTGATGTACTGTCTCAATGATTTTAAAAATATCTTCATTCTTTTTTTCTGGCACTCCTTGTATCTCAATATTGTTCATGCGAGATATTTGCTCGAGGTCGTTTACTCTCTTATTAAGGGTTCGAACATGCCTCATTAAGTTCTGGTTCTCTAGTTTCAAGTTTTCGATGATTTTTATATGTTCGTTGACTTTTTGGAGGGATGTTTCGAAATCTGTTATTTTATCAGAGCAGAAACTTATAGATTGGACGAGATCATCCTGCTTTTCACGAAACACTTTCATTTCTCCTTTAATATCCAGCATACATTTCAGAATTTTATCCTGCAATTTTGGATCCCCTGTAGTGTCAGTGATATCATCATTTCGGAAGGTTGATAGGTCTGCTTGTTTGGTTACACTCATCTCTTTTTTGCAAGTAGAGCAAATCCAAACAGCGTTATGGCATTCTTTGATAAAAGTCAATTGGTCTGCTGCGAGGCCTACACACTTGCCGTGATAAGAACTGCCACAAAAACTCTGGCATTGGAGACCCGGCGACTTTTTTGTTATCGGCGTTGTACATGCTGTGCATATACCGGACATTCTGCTAATTGCACAGCAATCAAAGGAATAAATTACTTATTAATTTTATGAAACACTTCACTGACTTATACTTTGTGTTTTGTATAAAAGAAAAACTACGATAATTTATCCGATTTAAATCACTTGAATTCGATTTTCGAACGAGAAGCTCGGAATACGATCCGTACGCTACGAGCGACTATACTGTACTTGGACTTATGACTGGATATATTCGTTTTTGAGACCGATATGGCAGCAATCATAGAAATGAATGAGATTGTCCTTGAGAAATATATCACAAAGATTGGAGACCAGTTAGCAGTGGTAATATTTTGTAAATGTAGTGTGTCACCTAGAATTTCAACACATTTTTTCTGGTAGAAAAAATGGAGAATAGCCAGCTGGATGAGGAAAACGCTGGTGGCAGAAGAGATTCTCAACGAAAAAGGAAATAGAGAGGCTCCAAATGGAGAAAGAACAAGATTGATAAAGAATTAGAGACAAAAAACGGAGGCGAATCCCAAAGTATTCATATCGATAGTAGCGCCAAGAAGAAGGACATACTAAATAAAGTATTGGACTCATTTTTTCTAATAGGAGTTATTGCAAGGAATATGGTGCCTTTTCAAAGTACACATATGAACTATCGGATTTCAAACAGCTTGTATTGACGAAATGGCATTAACAACCACAATAAGTTTTTACTTGTCTACAAACAAAATTAGGGACAGTGATTCGTTATCAGAGGCTGAAAATAACAAAAAAACAGTCGTGAGAAAACTAATAAAGAAAAAAGTTTCCGAAGAAGAAACTCATTTGAAAAAAACAGTTCGCAAAGTTACGAATAAGAATGATGTTCCTGCTGAACAATGGCAAAAATGCATTGAGGTATCATCACTAGACGGGTTACCTCTCGAAAATGGCTGTTATACTGGTGATTTACTTATAGAGTCTGATGGAACGAGATCTTCAGACAAATAAGCTAAGAAAATACTGGAATGAATTTATTTAAAGGCTTTGTGTTGAAAGCACCACAAAGATTCCAGAAGTGAACTATTTGCTCGACGATAGTAAGTGGAAGTCCATTCCTTACATTTCACCCATTGAGTATTGACAATCGAATTACTTTCCTGTTGAGATATCGAAGCCATTCATTGAATTTGCTATATTTGGTCAAACCCACTCAGATCATACAGAAGATTATATGTATTATATTCCCCCTTTGCCGAAGTGCTGAATGGAGCCATTAGGAGCTCCATCTACTTGTTTGATGATTATGTGAGACCTGAGACAACAGTTCAAAGTTCAGTAGATTTTCCATACATTGTTGAGCAATTGGCATTGCATAATGATAATATTTCAATGTTAGGATCTTCAATATACCCAATTATGTGATGGTGGACTGTGATGAAAGTAGAATCCTGATGAAGTTCCTCAATATATGTAACTTGAACCAATTTAATAATGTGATGATCTAGAGGTGAGCAGCCACCAGTGAGTGGGGATAAATATCATCCTGAACTGAAATCCTTTGTGCAAGTATTTGAAAGAAGTAGGTACTGATAATAAAAATGTACATTCCTCCTATGAATATGATTACCCAAGAGGTGATCACTATTCACTATATGAACTGATCAACCAACTGTGCCGATTTGCATGAAACTGAAGATGTCAACAAAGGCATTGAAATTTTCTATACCAAATTATTTTCTTCAATAAATCAGGCTTTACTAAAGAGAAGAGTTAGTAAACGGAAATGTAAATATCCAGAGTTTCCTTCAATAGATCTGATTAGAAATATAGGAGGAAAAAACCGCCTTCACAAAGGAAATTGGAAACAAACTGCTAACATGAATAATAGAATAGAATAGAATATAATAGAATTTTTATTTCACTAATTTACAAACCTTATGTTTTTGGCAAGTCAGGTACAAAGGACATATTGATTGTAGTAGATAAGAAAAAACACATTGGAACATTCAGAATAAAGTCATACACGTACATTTCTGACAAATAAAACAGACTTAACAGTATGTACCACATATAAAACAATAATTCGTGAGGACTTATTTTTCTTCCTCAATTCACAGAAGGAGAGAAAAATAAAATTGGAATCGTGAATTGCAAAACAAATATGAGCTGTATGAACGATGTTTTTTTTTCAGTTGTTTTCATAGAGAATGATGAATCTGGTGAAGATAGGTATTCCTCAACAGAGTAATAATAAACATAATCTCAGAAAGTGGTCCTTGATGACTTCATCGAAATATTTGAGGTCAAGGTTGCGCACATCTTTAGGTAATTAGTTGAACAAATTCAAATTCAAGGAATTACGTTTGGATACTTCTAGTCGATATCTTTGTGGTCTCAACTTGTCAGAATCCCTCGTTGCATTATCATGGAAATCGGAATGCACGCTAAATTTTTTGTGTATCTCTAAGGAAGATTGAAATATGTTTGAAGATGGAAATGAAAATATCTTGAGTTTTATGAAAAGTTCTCGACATGGGGTATTATAAGGTGAGTTTGTGATAAGTCGTATGGCGCGCTTTTGCAGACGAAAAACTCGGATTGAGTGTTTTGAGTTCCCCCATAGTATAATAGCATAGTTAATATTTGATTGAAATAAGGCATGATAGGCAGACAGTAGAGAATTCAAATCCAAGTATTTTTTTAGTTGCCTAAGTTGGGATGATAACTTCTTGCTCAACATGTGTCGTAACCAAGTCAATCCATCGTCAATAGTAACTCCTAGTTTTGTTTCCAGTGTTGATGCTTCTGTTGGAAGTCACAATCATTATGTGAGTATTGTCTCTATTGAGGTTCAAATTATTAGAGGAAAACCATGTTTCAGCACTTTTTTTGGCTGCAGTCGAGAGTTCGTTCAGAGTGTTGAGATTATCGTGAATCTTAATCAATGTTGTATCATCAGCGAAACATATGCATAATCCAGGTGACACAAAATAAAAAATGTCATTCGAATAAATTACAAATAAGAGAGGTCCTAAGACGGAGCCCTGTGGGACTCCATGAAGGACTTCCTGAAATTCCGAAATGGAGTTATCTAGATAAACCGCTTGTTTTCGATTTTGGATTTATGATTTGAAAAATTTCAGTGCTACACCTCTTATTCCATAAAATTCGAGTTTTTTTATTAGCAGGCTGTGCGAAACACAGTCGAAGGCCTTGCTAAGGTCACAAAGGCTCAATGGACAGTGTTCACCCCTCTCAAGGCCTCCGACTATGCCTGCACAATCTGTGTAACTGCTTCAACAGTAAAACATTTATTTCTAAACCCAAATTGCTCCTAACGTAACGAATTGTGTTTGTCAAAGAACTTTGGCAGTCGGTTTATTGTTTATTGTTTATTTCGATTATTTTCCCAAAAATTGGGATGATGGAGATGGGTCGAATGAGTTCATTTGACCAGGCCCCAGCATGCTGAGAAAATGATTGAAGCATCTTTGGAGTTCAGCCCTGGACAATTAACTACGAATAACATCAAAAAATATGAATCATTATCGAATTCTTCCCAAGATTCATTCAATGAAGGCCTCCATCAACCCACCACCAATTTGGTAGTGCATAAGATCAGACTCAAAGATATAACTTGTTTCAAAATAAGGAGATATCAATATTTCCCTGAGAGAAGAGATATCATACAGGACGAGGTTAGGAAATTGCTTGCAGCAGGTGTGATTCTTCGAAGTTACTCAAGTTACTGTTCTCCGATCGTGATTGTCGAAAAGATGGAGGGATCCCCTCGTTTATGTGTCGATTATCGACAGTTGAACAATCAAACTGAACGGTGAGTATCACAACTACCTTCTATAAGAGATACGGTTAGAGACTTGGGAAACGCTAAAGTATTCTCTTCCATAGATTTGAAAAGTAGATACTGGCATGTATCCAAAATTGCATGAAAAAAGTATACCGTTGACTGCTTTCGAGACACCAGACGGAGCTATGTATGAATTTTTAGTAATTCCATTTGGACTACTGAGAAACGCGCCATCGACATTTCAGAAACTCATGACTGAAGTTTTAGCAGGATACATTGACCGTTTCACGAAGATTTATTCAGACGACATGATCATCTACTCAGAAGATCATAATGAACACATTTTGCATCTGGGCTTGGTATTAGAAAGATTACGTATACATAATTTGCGAAGTTCTCTCAAAAAATATGTGTTTGGTTCTTCTGAGTTAGATTATCTTGGACACAAAATGACAGAATTTTCAAACATTCCGCAATAACGGCATGTTCTTCTGATGAAATCATTCGATACACCTAGAACGACGGAACTCAAGTATTCCTGGGCACAGCTAATTGGTTACGAGAGTACATTCACAACTTTTTTTCCTTGACAGCTTCGCTCTCCAAGCTCACAGGAGAGAATGTCTTTCAAATTGCAGGGAAGCACTGAATCAACCTCTTATGCTACAGAGACCCAATCATGATCTTCCTTTTATTCTCCAGATCGATGCATGTCAACATGGAATGGGCGCAGTTCTTTTCCAATGGGGTCCTGATAAACAGCGGCGTATTATTTCCTATGCTAGTTCAAAGTCTAATAAATCAGAAAAGAAATATCATATCAACGGACAAGAAACATTAGCTGTTGTCCCGGCATGCAAAAAATTTAGAGCGTACTTAGAGGATAGACCATTCACGCTGATAACGGATAGCCGTGCACTCGGCTGAATGAATTCAAAGATGACAAGGCTAAATTAACAAGTGAGGTACGTAGTTTTTGAAAGGTATAAGATAAGTATTGATGTAGTTTTCATTAGGTATTAGATTAGTATAGGGGTCAGATAATTTATACGACGCTATAAAAGCAGATGATATTTTATCATTGCTCATGTAAGATGGAAGTTGAGGCCATGGCACCATATCATGAGCATATTTTTATATTAAAACTATCATTGGGCACCAATGATGTGTATACGACGCTATGAAAGTTCAGAGAACTGGAGATTTTTCGTACAAACTACG